ACAATAATCATATATTATATGGATGGATCAGATCAATGGCACACAATGTACAAAACTAAACTTGTGATACCTTCTACTCAAACAGATATTCTCCCACAACACAAATTGTTTTTGTGTGGATATGCTGAGTTAAACCGAACAGTGTGGTATATCATTAACTGTGCACAGGATTGGAATTGAATTATATACTTCACTCATGACCTTCAAAACATTCTCTACTATTCAGTGGTCTTCGATATATGATTGACTCTTTGCTACAGTAATGCATGTTCCTCGAATAGTGTGTATGTTACTCAACAGTTAACATTGGCAAGTGTAAACAACAAGTGACAGAACTTTTGCTTCATATGATCACAATAAAGTTTTGAAAATTCGATGAGTATGGATTGACAAGTGACAGTTTACTAAATAGCCGGCTGTATAGACACTTTGAATATTGTTTGCATAATTTTTTATTTCCTGACTGCATAATTATCCGTTACAAGCATAATCACATTATAAAATTAGTTAAATTTTAGGGGGGAGGGGGGGGGGCAGTTGTCCCTGCTGCCCTCTGTGCAGTGTACAGCCCTGTTAGATTTGTATTATGTTTGATTTTAAAATCTTATTTGCTATTATATTTATCATAATATAAAGTGATGAAAGCAGGGGAGCTTGTAAAAGTTAGGGGGCGCCACCATGGTTGGCACTGAGGCCCCCCTGGCTTCCTACGCCCCTGGATGAAAGTAGACATGGGTTTTTGTTTGGTGGCCCAACCGTAGACATACAAAATAATTGGCGGCCCATCGAAACTGCCCAAAGATTTTGGGCCCACCCTAGCAGTTACTTTATGACCGGTCCCTTAGATCATGTCACGGTAGAACACACTAATGGCATTACAGAGCCATTTCCAGAATCTACTCCATTAATTGATATCTTTGATGAACAAAACCATGATAATGGTACGTACAGTAAGTTGTGGACAGCCTAGACCTAGGCCTTCTAGTCTTATTTATATTTTTTAGTATTCAGCGGTTTTTCACATGAAAAGACTGGGACTAGGTGATTTGGGGGCGGGGCGGAGGAAGCAAGCCTAGAAGGCCTAGTTGATTTCCCAACAACAAG